TGTAATGGAGGTGCATGATGCGTGACTGTATGAATTTGAAATTGAAATGGATATAGGGAATGCATTGTGAACAACAATATTAAGTTGGAGTGTAATAGAAAATAACAAAAGTGATCCCAAGTAATATAAAATAGCAGGTACTCAGGTTATAGACCGTGTACTGAATGTGGGGATGGAGGTTTGATCCAAAATGCATATAGTCTTCAGTTTTGGTGTTCGTAATTTGTAATTAGTATTGTGTGATTCAAATTATTAAATAATGTGTATGTGTACGGAATGATTCAGGAAAAGATGGAGCAAAGACAAGTGCAAATGGGAAGAGAAAAGGAAAGATAAGAACTTTAAAAGCGCCATATAGATCAATAAAAACAATGTCACCGTCGCACTTTTAATTCGGTGACCAGAATCCTTATTCTTTGCATCTTGAGGAGAAAGAATAGACACTTCGGTAGGTGCGGGTGATCCAAAAAATCCTTGAATCACACTATCTTTTGATGATAAAACCACACGAGGAACGATCAACAACAGACATGAGTAGTTGTTTCTATTCCTTGACAACTTGTGAAAGTTATTTTAGATGATTTGGATGGGATTCAACCATGGAAACACAAACATGAAAGTCGGACCTTAGTTGATTAACAACAGCGTTCTGTTCTTCTATACCCACACAATTTGCATCAGCGGTACATAATAAAGTGTTCCAGAATATGATCTAATTTACGGTCTTTCAATGCAACAAATATATCTTTACATAGTAAACCACATTGGTAGAAGAACTTGATAGTGCATGATGCATTGTTATCATCAACACATAAAACGACATTAAATACCATGTCTCGATCATCTCGAATCAAATAAGTCACATTTCAAAGTCCCTAAAAAGCTTACCAATTACAAGCTTACTTTCTAAGTCTCACATTTCGGAACCCAATATTTGATCATCCGAGGAGATATCTGCAAATGACAAGAAGTGCCTACAACAAAAGAAAAATAACAAATGAACAATTTTTTACATGATTTAATTTGTACAATATCATACAAATGTAGCAATAAATTCAGTAGTTGTAGCAAGAAAGACGAATCATAAAACTGTTGCCCAACAACAATATGAGCCAGGTTAAAATAATGAAAACATTAAAAAACGTAATCCATAATCTGAATGCAGGATTGTTGAAAGTAAAAGAATACGAGAGAGGGGAAAATAAATATAACTATAACATTTGGAATATCACATAAATACGTAAACATTTTCAAAAATGATGAAAACGGAAATTTCAAACACATGGGATAATACATGAAACAAATTACAGAGCAATTCATAGTATTTCCATATGCACACATAAAAAACATATCTTACTTTGAAAATAATACCATCAGGTTTCATGATATGATTTCAAAGAAGCATTTGAAGATTTAAGACAAGATAGAATATACTATCGTATGATTATTGGAACTCAAAAATAATAAGAAATTCTGAAAAACAAACACACAAAAACTTACCAGAGTCCATCATATTACTGTTGTGCGAAGAAAACAATGAAATACAAAAATCCTTAGACTCGCGTAGACGCCAATATGCCTTTGTCAAAGATGGGAATTTGGATGTTCAAAGTAGCGGTTACCATCTATGGGGTTGGTGCAGAAGATGATTACAGTGAGAAGGACGTGACGAGCGCAAGAGAACGTGAAAACCGAATTAATTGAAATGGTCAGATGACTAAAAAGCCCCTTTCATTTAATCTAGTTAAAGAGATCTGAGCGTTGAGATGGATGGCAAGGATAAATTCTCACTTTGCATATAAATAGGTCTTTTTATTTGATCCCCCCACTATATATATATATATATATATATATATATATATATATATATATATATATATATATATATATATAGGGGTAAGATCACATACTAACCATGCTTAATTTACTAACCCACAAACTCAATAATATTCACCACTTTGAACTTCAATATGCAGTACAGATAATGTAAAGATGCACTCTTTGAACTTTAATATGCAATACAAATAATGTAAATATGAAACTGCTATTTTATGGCTTGAATAATATTGAATACTTTAAACTTTAATGTGCAATACAAATAATGTAAAGATGATTTGTATGGGAGGACTACTTTGTATGTGATCCCACCCCTGCATCTTTACATTATTTGTACTGCATATTGAAGTTCAAAGTGTTGCATATTATTGAGTTTGTAGGTTAGTATTTTAAGCATGATTTGTATTTGAAATCTTACACGCACCACACACGAACACACACACACACACACACACATATATATATATTAGTAAACTCACTTCATCATTCAATGCCTTAAAGTTAGTCATACCTTAAAGCAATTGATGATAGTGTTGGCCACTTGGCCTACAAGTGCACAACATTAAATGTGGTACATTCAAAAGAATGTATTAGGAAACACCCTTTCTGAAGAGGTTTTGGTATAGTCCCCCTCTTCTTTTGTATCTTTTTGAATTTTAATAAAATATGGCAAACGTTCTCCGGCGTTTACCCCACTGATTTTGGTGGTTTGCCTTTCGGGTTAATATATATATATATATATATATATATATATATATATATATATATATATATATATATATATATATATATATATATATATATATATATATATAGATATCAGGTGAGAAGTCCCCCTTAAAATGAAAAGTGAGAAGTAATCTCAGTCCTAGAGAGGAGCGGCAATGGCATGGGGAAAACCTAGCCGCCGCCGCCTCTTTTTCTCTTCTTTTCTTCTCTTCTTTCAATCTTCTTTGATTTTAATAATAGAAAAACATCTTCTTAATCAGTGTTTTCAGTTTTATTCATCTGTTTCTTTCCCAACGTTGTTTGGAGGTATTATTTTCGGTAGCGAAATATCGTCTATCAGATCTATATTCCCCGCCACTTTCGGTCAGGAGTTCTTGTGTGCTAAGAAGAGATTTGCACTGATCTCTTCATCAATCAAAAACATGATTTTCTTCTGCGCCGATATTGAGACGGATCACCCTCCTCCTGAACCACCGCCGTTCCAGGAAGATGAGATTATTTGGATTGCTTTCTTTTCGGTGGCTGGTGAAACCGGAAAAAATTCTACAGTTGGCTTCTTACTGGTGGCTGGAGAAACCAGGATGTTTAAGAGTTCTTTTGATAATTATTG